TGCATGTATTGCGAGCCCGCAACAGTTTGTTGTCAGAAAACACACTGTAGTTGAGGCCAGTTGCTGTCGATGTACGCGCTGTTATTCAAGAGACTGGCCTGCGACTCAGAGTTGCCCGTTTTCGCCAGATTGTCGATGTGTGCGGGGCAGCAACTCAGAGGCGACGGATATAATCAGTTGCCAGTCCGATGTACGCTAGGCTTTAGTTCGCGTAATACCTCCGCTTTAGCACGGGTGTATAGACGTGGTACAAATGTTTCACTAAAGTACTGTCTCGATGGTACTTTATATCTGGGCTCTAGCGTATTCATCAACTGGGAAAATCCCTCACCCTCCACGCTACTAAATGGCCTCAAGTCTTTACAAATATAATATGAAATTGCAGCAGTGATGGATGTAGCTCGTTTAGAGTTTTTACTTAGCATTTGGGGAAAAAATGTGCTCACGGAGGGCGTCGTGGCCGTGTTGTTTTCGCTGCCACTGCTTGAGGGAGAGATGTCGTGTTTTTTCTTTAAATGTGCGGCGAGATTTGTGGTGTTCCCCGAGTATTTGACCACAGCATGGCAGAATTGACAAACCACACGTGTCTTGTCCGTTGAGCCATCTTTTCTTTGGAATCCAAAGTGCTTCCAAACGAATGACTTGAAGCCCAAAGGGGAGCGAATTTCCTCGTCTTCTTGGACATTAGCCATAGCACCCGCCCAGGAGCTGCGTAGCCGTCGGCTCCCCTTTCACGTGCCTGCTATGTTTTAAATGTGGTGTGCCCCAGGGTTCCATTTTAGGTCCAGTCCTTTTTAACCTGTACATGCTCCCTCTTGGCGGTGTCATCAGGAGACATGGAATTAACTTCCACAGTTATGCAGATGATACACAGCTGTACATCTCCATGTCTCCTGATGACACTAGGCCAATGGATGCTCTTTTTAACTGCATTTTAGACCTGAAATCCTGGATGGCAGAAAACTTTCTCCAGCTCAACCAGGACAAAACCGAGGTTTTAGTCATCGGTCCTGAGGCCCAGAGAGAGAAACTTTTATCAAAACTCCAATCACACTCTTTTAATCCATCATCACAAGTAAGAAACCTGGGCGTAATCTTTGACTCTGAGCTGACTTTTATTCCTCACATCAAGAACATCACAAAAATAGGTTTTTATCATCTAAAGAACATCGCCAGAGTCCGCCCCATTCTCTCTCGGGGCAACACAGAGACGCTGATGCATGCTTTTATAACCAGTCGCATTGACTACTGTAATGCCCTGCTCTCTGGTCTTCCCAAAAAGAACATTTCAGGTTTACAATTACTCCAAAACTCGGCCGCACGTGTCCTGACTAAGACCAGGGGGCGGGACCACATTACACCGGTTTTAAAATCGCTGCATTGGCTCCCCGTGTGTTTCAGAATCGATTTTAAGGTTCTTTTAATGGTTTTTAAATGTCTTAATGGTCTTGGGCCTTCTTATCTTTCAGATTTGCTTTTATCCTATGAACCTTCGCGGCCCCTGCGCTCCTCCGGCAGCAGACTCCTAACCATCCCCAAAGTCAGGACACACACTCACGGTGAGGCATCTTTCCAGCACTACGGCCCCCGTCTCTGGAACAGTCTGAGGAGGAGCTCAGGGCCGCAGAGAACGTTCATATTTTTAAGAGTAGGCTCAAGACGCACCTTTTTAGATTAGCTTTTGATTAGTTTTTACTATTTCATTTTATATATTCTATTTATCCTCTATTATTTATTGTATTGCTATTGCTTTTATTCATGTATTGTGTGTTAGTTCATTTTAGTTTCATTTTAGTTTCACATTTTTGTGTTTTACATATTGTATTGTTATTGTATTGTTTTTAGTGTACCCAGTGTTTCCTCTGGAGGAGCCCTCTGCACCGGGTGCAGTGGTCGGTGTGGCTGTGGGGGTCGGACTCTTGGATCTGGTGGGGGCCTGGGGCCTCGGTTTCGGGTCTCCTCTAGATCCTGTGTCGTCCCCTGTGGCTACAGGCGGCTCTCTGCTCCTGGTGCAGACGGCTCCTAGGATGACGCTTTTTCAACTGGTTGCATCCGAACCCTGCCAAGTCTCTCATCATTGTTTTACTGTTTTACTTGTGTGTGTGTGTGTGTGTGTGTGTGTGTGTGTGTGTGTGTGTGTGTGTGTGTGTGTGTGTGTGTGTGTGTGTGTGTGTGTGTGTGTGTGTGTGTGTGTGTGTGTGTGTGTGTGTGTGTGTGTGTGTGTGTGTGTGTGTGTGTGCGTGCGTGTGTGTCAGAGAGTGTGCATGGGAGCGTGTGTGCGTTTGTCTGTGGTTTGGGATGGGTCTGTTGGGTGGTCGGGGGGTGGGGACATGGGCCGGCGGGATTGTTTTTAACCAAACTGTAAAGCACTTTGTGTTGCATCTTTTGTATGAAAAGCGCTTCATAAATAAAATTTGATTTGATTTGATTTGATTTGCTATGTATAGACGGCGTGTGAGCCTCACAACACGCCGCGCCGCGCACTGCTCCCGGAAAGAGGAAGCATGCAACAATGAACTGGATATCAAAATAAAGTCGCGTCTAATCTCCTAGGTCAAAAACGGCCGATATATATCGATGCTTACGTTTAGCATCGATGCCAACAAATCGTAGAGCATTATATCGATTAATCGATGTGTATCGATTAATCGTTACACCCCTACTATATGCGTTTTCATGCTCCCGTGACTTTATGCAACTGCTTTGAGCGTGTTCGCCGATGCGGAAATACCGTTTAATAATAAAAAAAACGTATTGCGCATTGTGAACACATACTACTGTTATATAAAGCCCATGGAAAGTCTCTGAACACAGAGACGCTGCAATGCTGTATTATTGGAGAAGATCTTTACACGAGAAGCTGCTAGCATAACTCTGTTAGCATCAGAGCCGGCCGGCTACTTCCGCCACTTCCGGCGCTGGATAGGACGTTCTGGTGTGAAGACCCGTGCGAATGTGCGTCTGGTGAGCGAGGCATCAGCGATCCAGCATTGGCGTTCTGAACACACCTTTACAAGGCGCTGTACAGAAGTAAAATCTCGCTTCCACTAACCCCGGTAAATTGACATTTTAAGTCAAAAATCAAAATATATATTTACAAATATCATTTCATAAATGATATTACGAAATATAGGCCAACATGCTTTATTTAGGCCAGTATCCCTTAAAAATGTCAGGTGAAAAGATTCTCTCCAGCAAAAAAAAAAGAACAACAGCAGTTAATTAAACTCAAAACTCACTTTATAGACACTCGATAAAAGATGGAAAATACATTTGCGTCTGATCGTTTGTCAAACCCGTACCCAGCTTACAAAAACAACCTCACAATTCACTATTTTTCATTCAAATCCGCTTCGTTTCAATTATATTTCAGAAAGCACTCAAGCTTTCTCCCAAACCTGCAATCATCCCACAGACACTCTCCAAAACATTCTTCATTTCCTCTTTAATGCGCTAAGAAATGGTCCAAAACCAGTTGACCGTCCGCTTCTCGTGGGTTGTTTTGGCAGATAAAAAGTCATGGATTGTGGACTTTCGATGTTGGAAGAGCTTACGTTTGTGATAAGAGCAAAAACATCGGTCTCTGTCACTGAAACCTGTTCCTTTGCCAGTGGAGCAGCTTTGGAGAGATTAGGGTAATGTCGGAATTCTGGATTATACGCTTCATCGAGCAGTATGCTTTCTGTTTGTTCAATAAATCAATACTCTACGCTTTTATACAGCTATTTCTCGCAATAAGTAGCAAATCAATCACTCAAACTATATCGACAGAACTGGACTCATGTCTGACGTTAGAATTCTAAGTTATAGCCATAGACTGTAAATAATAATAGACGCCTATCTCCGCCGTTGAAACTAATGTGACATCACTTTTGGCTTCCATGGGCAGTTTTTGTTAGCGAGCGATAAGACTGGAAACCATTTTAGGCTAACATGTTTGAACTGCGTCAACAAGCTAATGGTTTAGACCATATGGTTTCTTTGGAGTGACAGTAATGTGACCATAAAGGGTGTGTTCTGTGGTCTAAATAAATTAGTCTGTGGCAAAAGAGAGGTTCAGAAACTGCAAAACTTCAGAGCCAAAGATTTTTATGGTTTTGTCCAGGTAGTGTCGTTTGAACCAGCTTTAACAATGTCCAAGGTGGTTGCCATCTTGGACATTTGGACACACACAAGATGTCTGCCCATTCAAATCAAGGGCTTGTGCTCATTGGCGTACAGTTGAACCATAGAGGCAACAATACTATAGGCGCAAATAACACATTTTTGGTCTTGTGGATGCTAGGTGCTATTTCCGAAGCAGTAGCGTAACGGTTCGAGAATGAGCACAATTTGTTGGACTTAAGAGTGGTGAATCAGAATAGCAGACAAATGGTAAATGAAAAGGTAACTGGACTGGACTGGTCAAGCCCCCAGGTTTTACAATTATTATAGTCTTTAAAAAATAATCCAAACAAAACTTTTAAAATGGTCAGAAACATGAGAAAAAGTGAAATAGTTCAAGTCGTATTAGTGCATTTGCAGGTCACAGTGTGTTGCATTTGTAATTTGTTTTGATAAGAGCACAATTAACAAACGCCCAAAAGTGTGAGCTGGATAAAGAAGGAAAACACAAACAGCCTAAAACCAGAGAGAAAAAGAGAACGTGTGTGGAATATTAAGGAAGGATCAAATATGGTCATTTTTTTGTGTTTTTAGTGAGCCCCATTCCAGCTCACACACACACACACACACACACACACACACACACACACACACACACACACACACACACACACACACACACACACACACACACATTCTAGGCAAGGGGGGAGAAGTGTCTTGCTTAAGGACAGACCACAATTTGGCATTTTCCAGTCACAGCCGCCCCACTGTGGCACCTGGTGTTCCCAGAGGTCTCCCATCACAGTACTAACCAGGTCCTGCCCTGCTTATCTTCATAGGTCTGACAGGATCTGGCTACACACATGTCTGTACATGCTTATGGCCTCCTCCTCTCAGTGTCCACCCACAGTCTTCCTCCTCCTCCCAGAGTCCTCTTCCTCCTCTGTGATAAAGCCATCTTCCCCTCTGGACCTCCTCGTCTTCCTCCTCTCCCTCTTCCTCCTCCTCCCTGACTCTTCCTCCTCTCTGTGATAGAGCCATCTTCCTCTTTGGATCTCCTCCTCTTCCTCCTCTGTGATAAAGCCATCTTCCCCTCTGGACCTCCTCGTCTTCCTCCTCTCCCTCTTCCTCCTCCTCCCTGACTCTTCCTCCTCTCTGTGATAGAGCCATCTTCCTCTTTGGATCTCCTCCTCTTCCTCCTCTGTGATAAAGCCATCTTCCCCTCTGGACCTCCTCCCTGACTCTTCCTCCTCTCTGTGATAGAGCCATCTTTCCCTCTGGACCTCCTCCTCTTCCTCGTCCTCTCTGTGATAAAGCCATCTTCCCCTCTGGACCTCCTCGTCTTCCTCCTCTCCCTCTTCCTCCTCCTCCCTGACTCTTCCTCCTCTCTGTGATAGAGCCATCTTTCTCTTTGGATCTCCTCCTCTTCCTCCTCTGTGATAAAGCCATCTTCCCCTCTGGACCTCCTCCTCTTCCTCCTCTCCCTCTTCCTCCTCCACCCTGACTCTTCCTCCTCTCTGTGATAGAGCCATCTTCCCCTCTGGACCTCCTCCTCTTCTTGCTCTTCGTCCTCTTTGATATTTGTGCCGTTTGGAGTCGTCCTTGTTGCGTCTCGTCTGATGCAAATCTGATGTAAACAGCAAACGGCAAAAAAACACAAGTCTGGGCATAAATCAAAGTGCTGTGACATGCGGCGCTTTGTTGTGCAGCCTGTAATCTCGCCTCTCGGCCGCGGTGTGGGCCAAACAACCGTTATCGCCCGCAACTCTCTCACTTCCATCTGATACTGGACTGCACTGCATGATGGGACAAGTACCACGCACCGTACGTACTCTGTGTCCGTACGTGTTTCTCTGGGATAGAACTGGAAATAGTCAAAATAGTCTAAAAATGATTCACTATAATAATAATAATAATAATAATAATAATGCATTGGTTTTTTACAGCGCTTTTTGGACCCTCAAAGGTGCTTCACATGGCTTCATTCATTCACTCCATACACACACCAGACTCATTCTAACCCTTTTAATGGTTTCCTCAATCATTTGGTCATTATATTTACTTAAAGCTTGAACTGAAATCTACCTCAATCAGTTATCTCTATCACTTTTTAGGCAACTTTTACCATCAAACTGCATCTCGACTATTTGGCAAAGGCCTATAATTAGAAAACAAGGAGTTAAACGGTGGCTGAGTGGATAGCACTCTCAGACCAGGGTCTTTCTGAGTGGAGTTTGCATGTTCTCCCCGTGTCTGCGAAGGTTTCCTCCGGGTACTCCAGTTTCCCCTACCACTAAAAATATGTACAATAGGTCTGGCATGCGCCTCCTGTACTGACTCCGCTCCCATCTCTGTGTGGAGTGAGAGACAAATGCCCAAAAATAACCATTGTAAACCGCTTTGAGACTCTGGTCTGTGAAAGGCTCTATATAATTAAAGATTACTATTTCTTGAACAACATAAAACTGATTATTTGTGTTATCCTACATCTTTGAAACTAGATTACTTTGCTTTATTCAAGGGTTAGGGTTTGAACATTAGAAGGTTAATGTGGGTAAAGTGTCTTGCCTAAGGACACAACCACAGATTGGCCCTTTACAGCCGCCCCACTGTGGCACCTGCTGTTCCCAGAGGTCTTCACATCACAGTACTAACCAAGCCCTGCCCTGCTTATCTGTCAGAAAGAGAGCTCCCACTGTATGTTAATCATGATTGAAATATATTGAGTGACTGTATATCAAGGAGTTACAGGTTCAACACTAGGACTCCCAGAGAAGTCATTTTACTGCTCCCATTCAAATTAATAGAATTAGACTTTCTGATTGGTGAAACGGTGGAGGGCGGGACATTGAAATGAAAACAAGAACAAGATTTAGGGGCTGGAAAAGTAATTTAGAAATTCAAATATCTCTGAACTACTGTTTTTAGTTAAAGAAGTATTGAAAAAGAGCATGTTTTATTAATGCCTTTTGACAGATCAGGGCCCTTTAATGATGACTTGACATGAAAATGGTACATATTTCTACTTTAATGTTGTGTTTGCTCCCTTGGCCCCTGCCCATCTCTGACCACAGCGTTATACAGTGAGTCTTGATTGAATGTATTTACCAATGGAAGCTTTTTTCAGGCCTGCAATAACTTTGGAGCTCTGTGTGAGTGAAGCATCTACTTCTGTCAAACTTCAGACGCACAAAAGAATCTTAGACCACGCAAACTTTGTGTTGCAGCATTATGAGTCTACTTCCCCCTCGTATCTAATCACGCACAGTCTGAAAGTTTCTTCAAAAACATTCATCACCTAAAGCTATCATTAGCGCCCACAGAGGCTTGTGTTGTCTGTATGTTTACACAGACCCTGTATTAGTGCTGTTTCCACCACAAGAATGTCTCAAAAACAGGCAGAGAACCAGACACACCACCCAGCCAGGTTGTGGTAATACACACGCTCCTATTAGCTGCAAACTAAATGAAAATAAGCAAAAGCAATCCACCGAGCAAGACTTAACACTGGTCCACAACAGGCCAGGTTCAAATCCCTCTGCGGAGAAGGTAAAGCCCTTTGATGGGTTTTCTCTTTTGAAAGCTGGGCCTTTTTAGTGAAGTACAATACAATACAATTTATTCTTGTAAAGCCCTAAATCACGACAGAAGTCATCTCAAAGAGTTAACAAAACCATTGAAATCGCCACAGATCAGAGAATCAACGGTTAAGAGATAGAAAATACACACATGAATTGGTCCATAAGGAGAGACCAATGTTCATGAATCTTGATAAATGTCATACATGTAGTAGAATGTTAAAGTGTCCTGGATCATCACGTGTTCGTGTTAGACACTAACTGCCCAACAGACTCATACAGCAGACGAAAAACTCTAAAAACCCATGATAAAAAAGTAAGAAACCTCGGGGAGACCCACATTGAGAGAGGGATCCGCTCCTACACGGACGGACGGGCTCGGACTGTAGAACGAGGACTGATGCTGTAGATCCAGGACCTAAGCTACAGAGCGTGGAAAGGTCCAGTGCAGGTCTGAAACAGCTCCCTGGCGGGTCGGGCAGGGCAGTCTGCACGTGTAGATGGAGGAGACCAGGTCCAGAGGTCCCGTCGTTGCGCCATGAAACAGACAATGGGACAACGGGTGAATAGCAATGAACAAACTACAGTAAGTAGAAGGACATAGTGCTGTTACCATACTTCTCCCAGCAAACTGACTCCCTACGCAGCTTGACTGACAGGTGAGACTAAAAATCTCAGACTGAGTCTTACCTTCCTGACCATATGCTAAACTAAAGAGGACTGTTTGAGCCTAGCCTAGAACGTAGAGACCGTGTCCAAACAAAGGTGAGACAGCAGCAGCCACGGCTAGGCTAGCCCAGGCTACAGCATCAAAGAAAGTGTGTCATATATAGTTAGGTGAGGTTCGATTTTGTAACAAAGGTTGAAAGATTCAGTGGTTCAGGGCCGGGTCCCGAACAAGCAGACCCCAAAACCAGAAGTGCAAAGGTTCATCACTGATCCGTGATCCGTTCAGATCAACGTCTTCGGTTCGGTACAGACGTGATCCGTGGTTTGATTCATGAAAAAAAAAGTTGCGCGCACGTTGTTCAGTCCACACACAGCGTGGTCATGGCGAGCAGAGGAACGGAGGAGCTTGAAAGCCCCGCGTCATTTAAATCCCCAGTATGAGAGCATTTTGGATTCACTGTAACTACACTGATGATTAATATTCGACAAAACTGTCACAGTGTAAACACTGTGGCATAAGAAAGACATGAGTGAAAAAAAGCGTCTCAACAACCGCTTCTTCTCAACAAGCATCTCCTTTACACACAGTCAGACCAGGCTAAAGTCAACTCTCCCGCGCATCCTCAGCTGCGCTCACGACTGACGCTTGGACGTCCCGCGGAACCTATAATAGATCCATGAGCGGAACTGCTCACTTCATCACCGCAGACTGGGAGATGAAGAGTCTGGCGCTGAAGACACGCCCCCTCTACGACTGTCACACAGCACAGGTACTGACACACAGCACAGGTACTGACACACAGCACAGGTACTGACACAGCACAGGTACTGACACACAGCACAGGTACTGACACACAGCACAGGTACTGACACACAGCACAGGTACTGACACAGCACAGGTACTGACACAGCACAGGTACTGACACAGCACAGGTACTGACACAGCACAGGTACTGACACAGCACAGGTACTGACACAGCACAGGTACTGACACACAGCACAGGTACTGACACAGCACAGGTACTGGCACACAGCACAGGTACTGACACAGCACAGGTACTGACACAGCAGTGGAGGAATGGAAGACAAAGGCCCAGTACTAATATTCTGGTCACAACTGATAATGCCAAAAATTAAATAAATGCAGTGATTGAGGCTGGACTGGGCCCAGGATGGAGCGCCTCCTCGGGAGAATCAGGTGGTTTAATGTGTGAGGGTAAATACCCTCATAAAGTGCCTTCTTATGTTGCACTTTGTGTTGTTTTTCATTAATTATGTTAAAAAGACATAATTGGATGGATGGAATATGCCATCCATCCATCCATCCATCGCCTTCCCCTTAATCCATTTCTGGGTCAGGGGGGTGTCAGTCAGAGCTGTCCCAGTACACAGAGCATCAGCCCCTCACTGATCCTCCTGCAGGAGTCCACATGAGCCGTGTTTATTAAAAAGACAACACTTTTTTTTTTTGAAAAATGAACGAACCGTGGCCTCTGAACCGAGGTACGATCCGAACTGTGATTTTTTTCAAACTGTTGCACACCTACCCAAAACCAGACTAACAATGTAACCATGCTAAACTGAAGAAGAGTGTGTTAAGCCTGGCTTCCTTAACGTGGATGAAGCTGATTCCACAGTAAAGGAGTTTGGAGCTAGATGCTCTGCCACAGAAAGTGCTTTTTGAGACCTTAGGAACAAGCAGACGTGGTGAAGTGTAAAGTGCTCAGAGTGACCTTGGTCTGTAAAATGTGCTGTATAAATACATGCTGTAGATGCTGCTCCATCTTCACCTGAACAGTCTGATACAGCTCTGACTGCAGACGCTGCTCCCTCTTCACCACAACAGTCTGACAGCTCTGAATGCAGACGCTGCTCCCTCTTCACCTGAACGGTCTGATACAGCTCTGACTGCAGACGCTGCTCCCTCTTCACCTGAACAGTCTGATACAGCTCTGACTGCAGACGCTGCTCCCTCTTCACCTGAACAGTCTGATACAGCTCTGACTGCAGACGCTGCTCCCTCTTCAACTGAACGGTCTGACACAGCTCTGACTGCAGACGCTGCTCCAGCTGCAGAGGGCGAGGCATCATCAATTGGTTTTGTATTTGACGGAATCCCACATGTTATTATTTAAAGGCCTCCAAACGACTAATCCACTTTTCCGGCAGACACACACACACAGACACACACACACACACTCACAGACATACACACTTACACACACACTCACGAAGGCTAAAGCTGTGCGGAAAATGGGATTTGGAGGTTCAGCGCTGGCCTTTGT